TTCTTACTTTCAACAGAAATCAACAAATACAATTAAAGGAAATAATATCTTTAATATTAAAATACCTAAGATTTCTGTTAAAGAATTTAATAATATTATTAAGTAAGTTCTTCAATTTTGTAATAATTATAAAAGCTTTATTATATATACTGTAAATAGAATTAATAGTTTTGCAATTTAATTAATTTTTCATATACTGAAGATATATTTATGGCGGCGTAGTCTCTTTAGAAAATCTTGAAACTTCTGATGTATTTGATCTCTTGGTCACTTTAACAAATTTAATATTTCAGAATTTGTTGATTGTCTTCAAACTCGCCTTATTGAAGATAATGCATCTTGGCTTCGTTTGAATTTTTCTCGCATTTATCCGATTAGTTTTCAAAATGAAAAATTTAAAGCTTTACAGCAATTTTGTAATGATATTATTATAAAACATCCAAATTTGGTTTTTACTCTGATGATTTTACCACTCTTCAAGAGAATGCTTTGATTTCTCTCTTAAAACATGACTACTTACAATTGGATGAATCTGTGATTTGGGATAAAGCTATTTTATGGGGAAGAGCACAAACTCCAAATTTACCTTCCAATTATGAGCAATAGAATAATGAAAATTTCAATCCTTTAAAAATTACTCTTCAAAATTGCTTATCTCATATTAGGTATTTTCTAATTCCCGGTGATGAAGTCTTAGAAAAAATTCGACCTTATAAAAAAATTATTGAAAAAAATTTGTGGGATGATATTATTACAAAACTTGTATCTCCCAATAAACCTATTAATTCTACAATTTTACCTCCTCGCAAAAAATTGACAACCCAACTTCCTCCTCGAAAATCAATATCTATACCTTCTTCTATAATTAATTTAGAGCATGCAGCAGAAATTTCTTCCTGGGTTGATCAACGTTCAACAATTTATGATGTTACAGAAATTCCACACGAGTTCAAATTGTTACTTAGAGGTAGTAGAGATGGGTTCGATACCAAAACATTTCATAAATTATGTGACAATTATATCTGGCACAATAGTTGTTATAAAGGTTGAAACTTCAAATGAAATAATTGGTGGATATAATCCTCTTGGCTGGGAATCTACCTATGTCGGATTTAAAGCGACACCTAATAGCTTTATTTTTTCTTTAAAAAATGAAAATATGAAAGAATCTATTCTTAGTCGTGTAAATGATCAAACAGATGCACTTTGGTATGGTGGTTTAGATATGGGTCCATGGTTTTATCATTTTGGACATCATGATCTCAATGGTCCTAAAATATATTATTATACTAATGTTAACAATAATTATCAGCCGCCAATCAGAAACGCAGCAGAAGATAAATTTTCAATAGATGATTATGAAGTATTTCAGATATGCAAAAATGCATAAATCCTATAGCAAATAATTTGATATTTATAGTTTACATAGATAAAATATATTATAACTAGTTAGTGGAAGCCATTAAAATTATGGAATTCAGGTTACCCTTTATAGTCCTTTGATCAATTCAGGATTAACTAGTTATTTCATAATAAAAGTTTTATATAATAAATTAGACCTGTTTGCTTTTGCTATACCAACCTTATACATTAATCAATTGTGATTTATATCTTTATATTGTGGAGGAATCACTTCATAGTAGTACGTACTAAAAAATGTTTTTGAAAAAAATTCAGAAAGCAATACATGTATAAAACCACTATTATGCATTTAAATTAAACATGTTTTGTTTTTTTGGCCGTAAAATAATTAATGAACTTTATACTCAGATTTAATTGACGTGATAAAATTAAAAAAAGTTTTGAACCTGTTTTATCGTGATTTTTTTCTAATATTATATTATAGAAACAATAAACAATGTTAATAAATAATTCTAATGCTGCAATGTGTTCAAGGAAAAATAGAGCTAGATAAATTTACGAATTATTTTGAATGTTCATAACCAAATTTATTTCCAGACATCATAAGCAAGTATATTTTTTACAAAACCTATATATCTCTATAAAATTATATGAATATTATATGAAAATTTTTATAGAGATTTACAAATCCAATGTAGAATTATATATTATACAGTTTTTAAAATATTTACATATATAATTGTATTTATATTTAAAGATAGAACTTATATAAATTTTATTTATATTAACTTAAAATAAATTATTTAATTTGGATATTTCTCAAAATGATAAGATAATCGTTTTCGATGTACATAGTAAAAATGTTCAGCATGGCAAAAAACCTTACCCAAACTCTAATTTAAATTTATCTTAACTGTAATATTTACATTAAACCATTTTAGAAATTTATATAATTCTATATATAAATAATATATAGATTTATATAAATTTCTATGCAAATCCACATTGGGTTTGTATAAATTAAATAAAGTTCTTAGAAAAACATCTACATAACTCAATATAAAAATGTACTTTGTGATGATGTTTTTTCTAATCATCAGATAAATAACATAAAAATATAGCGTGCTATGAATAATATAAAAGAGATTTTGTAATTCACAATTCACAACCTTATATATTTGGTAAAGTTTCACTATACGGAATTGCAACTCATATATAGTGAAACTTACCGAATGCATAAGATTGGAAGATGCAGGTTTTTCTCTAGACGCCACTCATACAACGCATATGTATTATGACCCAGAATTATATTAAAAATTGATCTATTACAAATAGCGTATTTGCAAATAACACACAGGCAAACATCATTTTAACGACAATATTGCACTATAAACTTGCAATTAAAATTTGGTAAAGACGTACCCTAAATTAAGATCATTGATTGGTACGTATCCATAGTAGTAAGGTAAAGTAATGTAACTGGTAAACGTCCGTAGATTTTCCGTTAAATTTGTGCAATTAAGTAGGACAATAGGAGAAACGATGGCTACCAATTTGAATAACGACGAAAGGTAAATGCTTATATGGGAACGCCCACAGCAAAGGCAGGGGATGGGACTATATAATATATAGTCCCATCCCCTGCTTTTGCTGTGGGCGTTCCCATATGATAAAACTATATTTCCAAATGACTGCTTTATAAAATTCGAATGCCTCCTTTATCTCTAACGTACTTCGATACATAACTACGATGATTGAAAACTACTGTAATAGGCCCACATCATTTAAAATGCTTACTGTCCATATGTAATCAATTATTGAAGACAAAGTTCTAATATCTCGATCCTGTCATTCTGTTCACTGCTGGTGTACTAAATAAGGATACAAAAATAAGCAATGAAAATAAATTATATGAAGGTACTAAATAAGAAAAAGACAATGATATAACACGAATAAACTTTTACTGTTTCACAATGATTATTCAGGAATATTTGTTTAGATCACAATTCTTAAGAGAAACTTCCATTTACAAATGATTTCAGAAATTATCATTAACACGCACATGCCAGGTTTGTACGTTCATTAATGTTAAGGCTAGCGTTTATAATAAGGTTAGAGGTTAGGTATCGCTCAAGGAAAACTTGTTGGAGTACTCAAGGTTACTTTATTATAATCAATTGATTAATAATGCTAAAGTTTTATTATATATATCATAAATTTTTTTATTATATATAATACCAAATGTGCATATTGGTTTTATTACATAATGCATGGTTTTATAAATTTAATATTAAACATAATATAATATACTACGTAGATACTTAATTATTTATGCGTTACACAAGTGGTTGTCATTTACGATCAATCAACTAAAATCGAGAAAAATAATACCTATAGTCACGTCCCATTTTGGTTTTTTTTTATTTTTTTATTTTAATGTATCTCCGGGAGTCGTATTATGTGCCCCACACCCGCACATAACTGTCGTGACCAACCAATATCTAAAGTCACATCCATAGCGTTAGTCTCTATTAAATAGAATAATTTAATTGTTAGTATTTATCATTTAATAAAAATAAACGTGATTAATTATATTACTTACTTTGTCGCCACCTATAGTCACGTCCATTTTGGTTTTTTTTTTTTAATTTTTTTTTTTTTTAAACATACCTCTGGAAGTCGTATTATGTGCCCCACACCCGCACATAATATCTAAAGTCACGTACATAGCGTCAGTCTCTATTTAATAAAATAATTTAATTGTTAGTATTTATCATTTAAAAAAAAATAATCGTGATTAATTATATTACTTACTTTGTCGCCACCTATAGTCACGTTCATTTTGTTTTTTTTTTTAATTTTTTTTTTTAGTATACCTCTGGGAGTCGTATTATGTACCCATGCCCGCACATAACTGTTGTGACCAACCAATATCTAAAGTCACATCCATCTCTATTAAATAAAATAGATTAGCATTGTACAAAAAAAAAAAAAAAAAGTCAAATGCAAACAAAATAACTTATCTTTAAATGCTGATCTGCTAAATGTAACAACTTTCTTAATTTACGCCTCTAATCAGAATTTCAATATCATCATATTAGAGACTATATAAAGTAATTTTGTGAATAACCGACAGCACATATTACATTCACCTGGCCTACGAAGAATCATTGAACGGCAATCAAGCTCCATTCTCATATGTAGACCAGCTCATAAGTTTCTGAAAAAAAATTGCATAAGTGAGTATATAAAAAATAATATAAAATACTTGTATTAGATAACTTCCCTTTAAGCATAATCTTTATCAATTCTTATTGATCATCATGTGCCTCTTCTCACAAATAACAGTCATGACCAACCCTTTTTATACCAAAAGTCACATCCATTTGGGTTTTTTTTTTAAACAGAAGTCATATTATGTGCTCCATACCCGCACATAACTATCGTGACCAACCAATATCTAAAGTCACATCCATAGCATCATTCTCTATTAAATAAAATAATTTAATTGTTAGTATTTATCATTTAATAAAAATAAACATGATTAATTAAATTACTTACTTTGTCGTCACCTATAGTCACGTCTATTTTGGTTTTTTTTGAATTTTTTTTTTTTTTTTTAAACGTACCTCCGGAAGTCATATTATGTTCCCCACACCCGCATATAACTGTTGTGACCAACCAATATCTAAAGTCATATCCATAGCATCGATCTCTATTAAATAAAATAATTTAATTGTTAGTATTTATTATTTAATAAAAATAAACGTGATTAATTATATTACTTACTTTGTCACCACCTATAGTCACATCTATTTTGGGGGTTTTTTGTTTAATTTTTTTTTTTTAAACATATCTCTGGAAGTCGTATTATGTGCTCCACACTCGCACATAACTGTCATGACTAACCAATATCTAAAGTCATGTCTATAGCATCATTCTCTATTAAATAAAATAATTTAATTGTTAGTATTTATCATTTAAAAAAAAATAAACATGATTAATTATATTACTTACTTTGTCACCACCTATAGTATGTCTATTTTTTTTTTTAAATGTATCTCCGGAAGTTATATTATGTGCTTCACACCCGCACATAACTGTCATAACCAACCAATATCTAAAGTCATGTCCATAGTGTCAGATAAAATAGATTAGCATTGTACAAAAAAAAAAAAAAAGTCAAATATAAACAAAAAAACTTATCTTTAAATGATGATCTGCTAAATGTAACAATTTTCTTAATTTACGCCTCTAATCAGAATTTCAATATCATCATATTAGAGGCTATATAAAGTAATTTTGTGAACGGCCGATGGCACATATTACATTCACCTGGCCTACAAAGAATCATTGAATGGCCATCAAGCTCTATTCTCATATGTAGACCAGCTCATAAGTTCCAAAAAAAAAATGCATAAGTGAGTATATGTAAAATAATATAAAATACTTGTATTAGATATCTTCCTTTTAAGCATAATTTTTATTAATTCTTATTGATCATTATGTGCTTCTCCTCACATATAACAGTCGTGACTAATCCTTTTTATACCAAAAGTCACATCTATTTGGGGTTTTTTAATTTTTTTTTTTTAAATATATCTCCAAAAGTCTTATTATATGCCTCACACCCGCACATAACTGTTGTGACCAACCAATATCTAAAGTCATGTCCATAGCGTTAGTCTCTATTAAATAAAATCATTTAATTGTTAGTATTTATTATTTAATAAAAATAAATATGATTAATTATATTACTTACTTTGTCACCACCTATAGTCACATTCCTTTTGGTTTTTTAATTTTTTTTTTTTTGAACATACCTCCAGAAGTCGTATTATGTGCTTCACAACCGCACATAACTGTCATGACCAACCAATATCTAAAGGCACAGCTATAGCGTCAGTCTCTATTAAATAAAATAATTTAATTGTTAGTATTTATTATTTAATAAAATAGATCAATGTTAATTATATTACTTACTGAAGCAATTAATTATAGTCAATTATAAAGATTTCTAAAATCTCAGAATATCATTTTAAAAACAAATCAGTAAGAAATTGCCTCACCAGTTTTATATAAATTGAGCAATTAGTTTAGCTAAATAAATACAAAAAAAAAGAGGAAAGCCAAATACCTTATAAAGTCACCTTTTAAGGCACTGGTTAATGCATATTCTCTACTTATAGAATCACTGTTATTTGTCCAAACTAAGGCCATTTGAAGTTGATTCTTCGGTTAACATCACTTTTCCAGAACTCTCGAGAGAGGGAAGAGTATAAAATGAAACGAACATATAAAATGAATATATAAAAATGAACAAAGGTGGGCAATTTCATTGGTTGATGTAAATCAGGTGACTGATGAGAGTCATCTAGCATTTTGATTGGCTGATCATTTTTCAGGTGGAGACTTTAGCTGGGAGGTGATATTAACCAAAAAGTTAACTTCAAACGGCCTAAATAATCACAGTGCACAGTGCTGAAGACTATATATATATCAAAAACAGTGTTGCACTCACCAACATTAAAAATAATTTCAAATTTTTCATAATGTGATATACCACCATCTATAAATTCTGATACACCAAGTCTAAAAAGTTGTAGGTTCAAAACTTCTCGTACTAATACGCTCTGTATAAAAATAATAATAAAGATAAAATAATTAAACGTATTATAAATTAAAATTATTAAAATTGTACAACATTTGTCCTATCCAAACAATCCATACAATTCTAATCATCAAGATGAAATTCACTATATCTAACTCTCAAAACAAAATTTTAATAATCATGTGATAATAACAAACCATGTGAAACATTTCCACATGCTTACAATGAACTTCATTATTGCTAACTTGCCAGAAATAGCTATAAATAAATAGATTTCAAAATTAATATCCATTAATAAATTAATAAACTATAATAATACAAGGTGACGAAAAATCTTATTATCTATAGAATGAAAATTTCTAACAAGTGTAGATGCTAGCATAGAAATGTTTTCATATTTTATTCCTCTATATTCTTTATAAAAATCAAACTCGACATACCTATTCAAGAATAAAATGTTTTAGTGCAAATAGTATTTGAAAATTAATCCTAGTACAAAATAACAATACAAACTCAATATTTTTATTTCCTAAATTTTGAATGGCTTTACGAAAAGCGGTACTAATGATTGCTTCTCTTCCATGGGACTCAACCAGGTTTATGCAATTAGTGTGTCCATATGATTTAATAGAATATCGAAATACTTTGCGAATGCTTCAGCATTTTCATCTGCAGATCTTTCAAGAATTGGTTTTGGTTATAGAGATTGAGACCAAAATAATAGAACTATATATAAACAAGTTTTTATTATCAAAGAATTCTAATAATAAGAAGTAATACTAAACTTATAATTTAATATCATATATAATTACCTGAACCACAGACTTGTAAAAATAAGACATCATGATTTGAATCATCAATCTATAAGTAGTATTATAATTTATATTGATTATCGCTCATTCACAATAGTACATCAAGTTTATTCATAATAAAGCAAGCTATTCATTACCTTAATTGAAAGAATTTATTCAGTTTCAACAAAATTTGCTACAGCTCCTTGTTCATTGACACCTCTATCATTTAATGAATTTAGGCTTTTATATTATGTGCCCCACACCTGCATATAACAGTTGTGACCAATCTGCCACCTATAGTCACGTTCATTTTGTTTTTTTTTTTAATTTTTGTTTTTTTAGTATACCTCTGGAAGTCGTATTATGTACCCCACACCCACACATAACTGTCATGACCAACCAATATCTAAAGTCATGTCCATAGCGTCAGTCTCTATTAAATAAAATAATTTAATTATTAGTATTTATTACAGTATTATTTAATAAAATAAACTTGATTAATTATATTACTTATTTTGTTATTTAATAAGTTTGGCCTTTATGTTATGTGCCCACACCTGCACATAACAGTCATAACCAACCAATATCTAAAGTCACGTCCATAGCATTAGTCTCTATTAAATAAAATAATTTAATTGTTAGTATTTTTTATTTAATAAAAAAAACGTGATTAGTTATATTACTTACTTTGTCGCTACCTATAGTCACGTCTATTTTGTTTTTTTTTTTTTTTGTTTTTTTTTTAAACATACCTTTAGAAGTCGTATTATGTGTCTCACACCTGCACATAACTGTCATGATTAACCAATATCTAAAGTTACATACATAGCATTAGTCTCTATTAAATAAAATAATTTAATTGTTAATATTTATTACAGTATTATTTAATAAAATAAACTTGATTAATTATATTACATACTTTGTCATTTAATAAGTTTGGCCTTTATGTTA